AAATCAGTAAGCACAGTAGACAACAAGCATAAAGTACATCGCTAGCTCTCAAGATCTAGGATCCTTGTGCTACTGCACCTAGCTGACATCAAAACCGACAGCACAAACTAGTATTTGACCTGTACACGTTCTCAATCCTATTAGCATTAGCATCATGCTAAAGTAAAAAAAAGAACCCCCCCAAGATAGTCATAATTAGATTTTGTCTCCTGAAATCCAACTCTGCCTTTCACTATATTCAGTAGCTATATTTATTAACTTCTCTTTTTTCCTTCACCAAAAAGGGCGGGGGGTGGGAGAGGGAAAGTGTTAGAAAACCATGCTCTGGACCTGCTGGAAGAAGAGTACTTGCAATACCAAAATCAAACAACTTTGGAGCTGGCTGTACCATGTTCCCTGGCCTGCCAAGAAACACTACAATTATAGATTTTTAAAAATCAGTTAGAAGGGTAACATATTCAGTTCAAAATGAGAGACAAGAGACTTCCCTGGACCTCATAACATTAAAACAAGCTCCTATTCTATCAGTTAAGCATTCCAGACAAGTCGTATCTACACAAAACACAGTGACAATACATCAGGCATGCTCCACCTAGTCCACAATACTCCCTGAACCACTACCTGTGAAACTCCTCTCCCGAAGGCAACCTCTAAATATAGCTATGGAACAGTATTTTAAAATGTGAACAGACCATGCCTATTCAGATTTTCAGATTTCTGTATGAAAAGAGATACAAATACCCATCCATCTTCAAGTAACATTTCTAATTGGAGGGGGCATAGGGGAGTTAAAAAAAAAAAAAGGGGGTTTTTTATAGAAGTTAAACTAGCAGAACATCAACTCCCCAATGCATCCAATCCTTCTCTTCCAGGAAAAATTAATTCCATAAATTTTCACACCTAGTAATTTGCAAGCAGAAATGGTAAATACAGAATCCTATTTAATAATAAGGGAAAAAGATCTGATTTATGAGAACCTTTACAGCGCACAGCACTTATCTGACAGAGGAAAGTATTTGAGCCTGCAAGAGCCAAGGGTCCTGTATCTTGTCACATCAGTATCTAGTTCTTATTCCTCCCGTCCAAAAGACAAAACTCAGAATGTGCCCAGAAGAAAGAGCTCTGCTGAGGTTTAGAGCCCATTTAATTTCTGATAAGACTGGGATTCCCTAATTAAGTAACCTAAATAAAAACAGTCTCAAAAATGCTTAAAATATAGACTTCATATTTCTTATGTAAATGGCACTGAAATAATGGTTATACAGCGACCGATGGATGGCTGGCATAGGCATCACAATGGTTACTTAAAGCTGTAAGTATAAATGCTATTATTGCTGATGGAGAACAGGAACAATTGTGCTTCATCAACGCATTCCACATTCCCATTCAGTATCTCTCACCCTCTTCCCAATAGACAATCTAAATTGCAAAAACAGCACTTTAATCTAGACCGTGCAATTTACGTAGACAGAGAATTAGAGAAGTCATAATTTAGAAGTTTATCAGCACATTTCCTACATCAAAACAACTCTAAATATTCATTTTACAACTCTTTCTGGGATCTGCTTCCATTTGATAGACTTCAAGTTGCACAAAGATAAGACACAAGACCTTGTAACTGAAAGTTTTCAGAACCTGCACTTTTTCATTACAAGAGAGGCTTTTTTCTGCCACCCACTTCCCCTTAATCTTCTTTCCTCTTTTAGCTTCAGTTCTGAAATAGCATTGACAGTCTTTTGGCCAAAGTCTGAAGTTTAAGCAGCAACCCACATGTAAAGACCTACATAGAGCACAGCTGTTAGCTGTTTGCCTTTGGGAGCTATCTTTTGTCCCTGTAAGCATAAGCCACAAGTGTTATGTCTGCCAAATTCAGAGTTGCCAGCGGGAAGGAAAGCAAGAAGGTTCAGACAGTTTTCACTGATAGTTGATCAGCTCTTGGCTACCAACTAAAACCTTTTCTTCCACTCGGTTCAGCCTGAACGAAACCTCCTACTCTATCAGAAATGAGGGAATTTTTCAACAGTTTCATACGACTTGACATTGCATTTCCACTATATTTTTTAACAGACAATATAAGATTTTCTGAAGACTAGCTGCAACCAATGCCCAAGAGTAAACTACTCAGACTTGTACAGGATAAGTTGAAAACAGTAATAACAGAGCTGACTTACAGGTAGAGGCAAGTTTAAAAAGAAAAGAACCTGGAAAAGACCGTACCAAAATCTTTTCCTCCTGCTCCATACAGGATACAGTAATTGCTTCTATCTTGCTCAAAAGTCGATCTGAATCCAGAACCACTTACTGACAGGAAACAAACAAACCAACCACACAACCCAACCACATTAACTGTGGTTTACACAGACAAAAGTGCTTTTTTACAACTCCTTAAATTAAGAGCACTCTGAATTAGAAATTTAAGATCTATTCTACCCAAACTAACATCCTCGCATTGACAATTTCTAAATTTCTCCCCTCAGCTATAAATTCATCTCCTCAGCCTCCCCAGTGTACCTCAACATTGCTCAACTTCAATAATGAAACTCAGTCATTTCATTTCCTAATTTTCCTGCCTTTGCACAATACAATATAGAGAGCAACAAACTGAATACATTTTAACATAAAAGATTTCTCTTCCTCTTGCCTTTGTCAAAACCCGCCTCCGCTCTGCACCATATATGTTTGAGCCAAACACAAGCATCACTTGGCACTATTCTTTAAAACCTGCACTTTCAAAGTGAGTCAATGCTCCTGAAATGAAGTATGAGTTAGAAGATTAAAGAAACATTTCAGATGCAAGGAAAACCAGTAAAAACAGTTTTTAAATGTATCTGACCTCCAATCCTCATACTAGTGCATTTACTAATAACTACACATCTGCACAAATGAATTCACCTGCAACTTCCAGAGATAAAGCAGACGTTAATTCTGAAATTAAGTTTTTTATTTTTAGTAGGCATAACAGAAAGGAAATAGCAAAGCCACATTTCATTCTCTGAGCATTGTTAAAAATTGTAATGATCTGTTAACTTGTGAAAAAAATTCCCCTCTGAAAAATCCCCAAGGCTTCTTCCCAAGCACCACATTGGGAGCAGATGGCCAGCATCAAGTCTGCAATTACCAGTCTGGCCTGGCAGTCCCACAGATGACAAGAATACTCTTTTCCTTTTTGTGGGTGCAGGGAGGGAGCAGCTCAAGAAATGCAGACAACTAGGTATGGTAGACAACAGAACTTTCCACCAAAAACATATGTATACATTCAATTTCCAAACCTGTTCATTTTACATTTAGGTTTCCCTCCTTTTTTCTTTAATATTTTCTTTTCTTTAATATTTTCTTTTCTGCTTCTTTTCAAACAAGGCAGCAGGAAATCATTAAGGATACAGTAGAACTGACCATTGCCAAGCATTGCCACAGACACAAACTTCATGAACTTTCTGTTGTTGTAATTTTTCCCTCTTTATTTTACCTTGGGAAAATCCAAAAGCAGCTTGTAACAATGCCCTATTAAAAGTATGCAAATGGACAGAGTTATTAGTTAACTGTTAACAATGCCTATCAAACTTGTGACTGTATCAGTGTGCTATCCCTCCCCCTCCCACCCCCAAAAACAGTTGTTCTGCTCTCCTCTTTAGCCAGGAGGACATCTGAGGAGGTGCTGTTTCATTTCCTCTCCTTCCTCCCATCCCTCAAATGGGGAAGCCCTCAAAAGGGGGGAGGGGAGAGCATGTTTTTAATTCACATGCTGCATCTTAAAATACTATTGTGCAACACTTGGGTGAGTCCGACTGTAAATCTATATAGATATCTATATATATACATACACAACATCAGAGAGCTTTAATCCCCCTACATCTCTTTAAAAAAATAAAAATAAAAGCAATAAGACTTCTGCATTAATAATGGCTTACTATTTCAGTTTTATACCCAAGAATTTGAGTATTTGACTAAAATCTTTACTTTGCCAAAGCAAATAAAGGTTTAGAAGTAAAAGGCAAATGAGTTCCTTTCCAACTGACAGATGCAACAGGAAGAAGGTGGAAAGGATTTCCTCGTGCAAAGAAGTCTGACAGACTTAACTGAGGCATTTGGGGCTCTCCTCAGGAATGCTCAGCCCCCCTATAGAGACTTCCTCTCTTACATTGATTCAGCACTCCTAACTTCATTCTACTAATTCTTCTTCCTCATTTCAGCTACCACTTCTGAAAAATTTACCAGGCACAGAAAAGCTCTGGAGAAAAGTATATCATAGACCAACTATCATTACCTTAGTCTTTCAAGTCTTACTGAATTAAGGATTGAGTTTTTCTTCTTGCACAGCCTTATTACTGCCTGGTCTCTCTCATTCAGGCTTAATTCCAGTGACACATTCCATAAAAAGGATCCCAACGTTATGGAGATACTGCTACCCTGGAGGCTGAACCCTTCACTGGTAAGATCAACTTTGAGTAAACATGATGTAGTCCAAAGTAAGTTTTAACAACTTCTAGATCCTGTTGGTTTTCTTTAAAGATCATTGATTATGTGTCAAATGCCACGCAATAAAATGTAAACATATTTCCCACTAGAAGAAATGAGAAGACAACACGCCCCATCTTTGCCTCAGCCCCAATGAGTAAGCTTTCTCTGCTCACACACACAATAAATACCAGAAAGCATTGTCCTTTTGAGAGAATTGATGATTTTAACAACTGTTTTTCCAGTGCTGCAGTACAGGATATTACTTCTCTGTATAAATCTGGCATTTCTTGTAATTGCAATTATCAAAATACCTAACACAAGTACCAGCTTTGTGGCAGAGATGCAAGTTAATACACACAACTCATGCAGAAGTAAATTAATTAAACCTCACAAAAACAATTAGTTGGTTCAGCCAGGAAAACAAAGAACTGCATGCGCTCAACAGCTTTGGAAAAGTACTGCTATTTTGGGAAACATACCTTTAAAACATTTTGGATTGTTTCTCTCTCAGAAACATCCAAAAAACTTAAGTGTCAACTCACCTTCCACACTATCAGAACAGGAGGTACCAATCCCAGTGTCCCCGCTGTCGGAAGCTATACTGTGTCTTCTGACAGGATTGCTCTGACTGCTTGATGAAATGGTTGTGGAGTGCCACAGGGATTCAGTACCAGGTAACCATCCCACTGAGGAATAATCTGAGCCTATAAAGAAGGAAGCCAGAAGTCTGTCATTACAGATACAGTACAGAAATCAACAACAAAATACCAGCTAAAATGAAAACTGAATCCCATGTTTCATAGCTCAGGTTTGAGTCAGACTCTGTGCCAATGTTTTGGGGTATTTTTTTTTATTAAAATCCTTCTGCTAGGTGGAAATGTCCAAAAAAAATTTCAGTAAATACATTTTTACTGTTTAAAAACACAACCCTTAAACTGTTCTTGCACTCACTTTAGCAAGATACTTATCATACAATTCCTATCCTAGAACTGATTCTCAACTCACAGCAGAATTTTGCATTGCAAGCACTTATCTGCAGAGAGATAAAAGAATTTTAGGGCAGAAACCATTTGAAGATTTGTCCAGTGAAATACAGTGATTTCCAGCTGTGCATAAACCACATGACCCAGATGATACAATAAAGCCAGCAACGAAATCACTAACACTGATATCTAAAGGAATTAATTATCTTTCACTGTTATCAGTAGTTTTCAGTTATCAAAAGACAGACCACCAACTCAAGTAGGCACACAGTAGCTCCACACAAGCTGTCTTTGTGAGACACCTATCCATCTAGTGGTTTGTTTCATTTTTTTTTTATTATTTAAATAGTTGTTAAAATATTAAAGCACAATTCGGAGCAGCGAATAGTTCCCCTGTTCCAGAAATTTTTGAGAATGTGTGGCCTACTTTATAGTCAGTATCAAGGGAAAATATACCACAGAGTACAACCCCAGAGGACCATCACAATTTCCAATAGCCAATGTCTACATCTGAGCATTGTTTATACGCAGAATACTTATCATCATGTTTGCAGTCCAAACCAACAGAGTCACATGAAGTCACTTGGAAAAAAAACATGGCCTGTTCTTGATTTTATATATAATCACATACATATATCCCCTGTAGCAGTTAGCTTCGCATAACACTTTCAGCAGGCAATGACTCATGAAGAAATATCAGTTCACATACAACATCTCTTATGATAAATGTGGTTATTTTTAGGTCATTTAAACATTTTCAGCAGTGTCCATCCAAAGTCGTAACAGCAATTTGCCTCTGCAATGACATCTGCAGATCATTGCTACTTCCAGCTGTACTTGTTTCCCAGCAAATTAAATAGTTTACGAAAGGATGTAAAGATGAATGTGTGTGCATATATATAACCCCCTCACATATATATGAATATGTACATACTCCCCATATAGCAGCCAACTCACTAAACCTACTAGCCAGAGTGATCAACAGCTGCTCACCAAGCTACCTGTAAATTGAAGAACACAGTACAGGACGCTTCCTGATTGTATGCACTATTTAACTGTAACATGACATCTAAGACAGCCTACTTCCAGTAAGTAGGTTCTTAGAGGTCTTAGATATTCCTGTCCATCTCATTTGTCTCAACTTCATTCTCCTTTGAGGTTACTGCCTCTCCTTCCTTTAACATATTTTCCTATCTCTTCTCACAGTCTTCAGAATCACTCAATTCTCTTTCCCCTTCATTCTACTTTAGCCACAGCTTCTGCTATGTATTTCCTTCTCTTCCTTAAACTTTTTGCTTTTCCTCCCCAAAAGTCTCTTAACTCTTAATTATTCCACTGAGTAGATTTCAAGTCCAAGGGTGAGGCAGAACAGAAGACCAGAGGAGCCTGACATGAATGCCACTGCCCGTGGCTCATCACTCACATCCTGTAAGGAGGTCCCAGCCAAGACAGTAAGTGAACACCACTCCAGGTGTCAGTCTTCATACCTTCCTCTCTGTGTCATCATCTAATGTACTGAAATGTGATAGTTTCCCACACAGCTAGCAGGAAACTGGGACATTTCTTCCTCTCCTACCACCCAGCACATTTTTCACTAAACACTCTCGCCGCTTTGGGAACAATAAGAGCTCCACTTCATACTTCCCAAGCTGCATCTAGCTACTCCAGCAAGAGTAAAGTTGACTTATGAGAGCCCAAGCTAATTAAGTCAGACAGTTCTGATTCAAGAGACATTTAAAATACATTTATACAAGAGAAATTTGATTTTCTTTACCCTTTATTATGCTGTTCTCCAAAATACACCTCTTTGGTGACATTTCATCTTTTATGAGACTAAAAAAAGTGTTAAAAGAAATGCAGCAGATAATGCTACCACTACCGCACATTAAATCAAGACAGCATTAAGTGTCAAACTCTAGATCTCTTGGTTAGACAAATGTCCAGTATGTGACTATATAAACATCCACACACAGCCCCCTGAGAGAGAGATACGTTTCACTTTGGTGAAGCTTTGAGGAATAAAAGCTAAAAACAACACAGAACAACAGAGTAACTTAGATCGGAAAGGATATTCAGAGGCCATCTACTCTAAACCCCAGCTAAAAGTAAAGCTAATTAGATCAGACTGCTCAGGGCCCTGTCCAGATGAGTCTTGAACACCTCTGGGGACAGATTCCACAACCTCTCTGGGCAGCCTGTTCCAGCATTTAACCACCCTCTGGGCAAAGAAGATTCTCCTAACATCTCATCAGAGTCTCTCGTGTTCCAAATATATTGTTATAATATATCCCAAAATATGCAACAACACAGTGCAACTAGAGTTGACAGTAAGGATCAACATACTAGAGGGGGCAGACAGTCATCCCCATCGGGATTCTACAGATGCTGTAAGCTAAGGAAACAAAAAGCAGCACAGAACACCCCCCTATAATCTATTCTCAATTTTACACCCACACACATACAGCCTGGGGACACGCTAAGCCTCAAGTGTGATGCTGAAACACAGGTCCAGGAGGACTTGCTGGCACAATACAGATTAATCCAATGCTTTCTGGAGCACCTTTGCACCAAGGGCAGTTCAGCATTTCTAAGCGAACTCATGAAGCCTTATTTTTGAGCTGGTAGGCCTGAAGGGAAAGTGCCGGTACGCATCCATAGCTACACACAGATCAGCATGAAGCCAGCACGTTTATTAGCTCTGGCTCAGCACAGGCCTGCCAGATTCCATCTCGCTCTCCAGGGAAACACTCAAGTCCCTCTGCACGGTGCTCTGGGCTCCAGAACAGTCTCTTCACTCAGGTGCTCCCTCTCACTATCCCTCCTAACACACAGCTGGCTGTGCACAGCAGGAACGCACCCACACTGCTGTCACCAGGATCATGCCTTTCCCTTACAGCCATCCTGTACAGGGAAGCATGGACAGAGGCTGCGATGGGGTGGAACGGTCTCATTTTTCTCACTTCCTGGGGTTCTACTGTTTAGAAGCAGTGTCTGCATTTAAAAGAGATATGTCTGAAGAAAGAGAACTGGTTTAGAATTTGAACAGGCAAGCACTATGTGCTTTTTAACCTATTCTAGACATGCCAACAGAACATGGTTGCATGTGATCACTTCAAGAAATGCTTTCTCTTTGCATCCCACAGAACTCCTGATATTAAATGTGCTGCATTTTTTAAAAAGATAGCTATGACATATTCTAGGAGTCTACACTTTTTAATGTTCCATGGCACACCTACATCATTGTTTTATCTTGCTGACCTAATGGTGACTCTGCACACTAGAAGGCCACTACAAAAATATACTGTCTATGTGAAAAAGAGCTTTACAAAACTAATTGAACCCACTCCCATAAATGGCCAAATAAAAGCAACAAGACAGTAGAAACAGACTCAGTAATTAAGTCTCAACAGTAAGTCATGTGTACCCAAATCACAGTGCCAGAGAGCAGACTCCCTCCCCATCACTAACAGAAGGTAATTACACAAGCTGCAATAAGGAAACATAACCCATAAAATAAGACCTTATAGACCTCATTAGTCCAAGCCATTATTTAAAAATTCATTTATTAGTTTCATTATTTGAAACTGCCCTTCTGAGCCAATACCTGAAGAATCACAAATCTCTATGCACCCTGTTTGTTCTATGTTCCCCATCTCCTTTTCAACAGCTCTCTGTAAATGCATGATCTTTTGTGCAGCAAACAGCCTACTAAATGAACCAAGTGTTAAGAGGAGAAGATACACAGGATTCCCCACACTCCTCAGTTTGCACACCTGCCTTACCCTGCTGCTTTAATCTCAAACCTGGCAATCAACAGCTAGCATCCATCTGCTCAAAATACAGAGTAGGGCAACAAAACCAAGCAAAAATTGCTAATAGATTTGTGCTGCTAAGCTGTATATTGTCATCTGACTATGATCACTCCTATCCAGGCCAGGAAAATCTACCTTTCATAGGATTTAACAGAAGAGAAAGAAAAGTAGTGTCACCCTATCTGGCTATAATTTCCAACAACAAACACAATAAATAAAATACACACAAGATCCCAAACAAATTTCAGAAGGAGCCTTGTTTATACAGTTGACTGCGTCCTTGAATTTGGTGGGTCAAATATACCAACATAGTGCTGTGTTCCCAGCCTAGGCATTTGAAGCAGATCAGTTAACAACTAAGTGCAGGAAGTAGATTATTTATTTAAACAGAACAGTTGTTGAAATTTCACTCCACAAAACCATGTATCTTTTTCTGTGCATTACAGAATGCTGTCAGCTACTGCTGGCAGGAAGGCACCTAGCTAATTCTGGATCACTACCACCCCTAATTTAAGCATTATGCACAGATCCCACATATATACATATACAAAATAGTAACACCATCATCTTTATATTTGGTTATTAAAATACCTTTAACATGCTTCAATGTAAAAAATATGACTTTAAGTGACAGCTATGACACTGTTATTCTATCTAGACGCTGAATGGAAAGCAACAGCAAAAGACTTAACTGGGTTTCACAGCAGATACATCCTTACCAAAGGATACTGATTTTTCTATTCCACACCATGATCTTGACATAGATTGTGACCAGAAGTGAATCACCCATGACAGCCAGTGTGAATTTATACAGCCAAAGGATTCTGAAGGGGAGATCTCAGTGCAGTACTATCAAAACTGACAAGTATACAAAGCTCATTCTAGTCATCACAGATATGACCAGGCTGT